GGTTTTTTGAGACAGGGTTTCACTATGTAGTTGAGACTGACCTGGAACTCACTGTGAAGCCCAGGCTGGTCTCGAACTCACAGCGATCCTCCTGCCTCAGCCTCCTGAGTGCTGGAATTACAGGCATGCACCACCACGCCCAGCCACAATCTCTCTTTTCTTTCTCTCTGGAAATTTTGTTCCCTTGTTTCTGGTAGTTTTTCTTCATCTTCAGCATCATGATGTATCTGGTTATAGGTTGTTTCTCATCCACTCTACTTGACAGAAGTTCACACTATTTAATTTTTTTGTCTTCTTTTCTAATTTCTGACAAATTTTCTTAGACTGCTTCTTTGTTATTTTCCTTTTCTCTATTCTATCAACCATGTCCTCTGAAACTCCTTAAAGGAGTTTAGGTGGATGCTAAAATATATGGGTATTTTCTCCGTATCTCAACATTTTTCTTTCCATGTTTCCATCTCGTGATCCCTTTAGATCACATACTCAAAGAAAATTCCTATTTTGTCTTCCAGCTCACCAATTTGTTCCTCGGTTGCATCCTCTCTGTTAGCCCAGCCCATCTGTTGGTTTTAAATTTTTGCTGTGAACAACTTAGTTTCCAAGGTCTCTTTGTGGGTCTGATAACTATTATTTCAAAGTCCTATTTCAGTTGCATTCTTATTTCCTTTGGTATAAAATTTGTTTACTGAAATTAATATTCTTTCTCAATGTTGGTTCTCCATATATTTTTGGCACCTCATAGATGAATTCTTGTGTTTGCATTGGGAAATCTCTGCTAACCTGGCAATGGGGTGAAGGGGATAAAAAGAATGGGACGAATTCCAGTTGTTACTTCAGTCTGCTCAGCATAAACAACAACAAAAAAAATGGTGCCTGCTGTTGGTAGAGGAGACCAGTAGGGACTCTGGAAGAGAAACTCCTTCTTTTGGATTGTATTTGTTGCCTGAGCAGTGCTCTGCTCCTGTGACCCAAGCATCCAAACGTCTCTATTGCCCACTACGGTAGCTACCCCAAGAGGGTCAAAAGCATAGCATAGAGGAAGCCTCCTGCCTGCATCTCCTTCCTAGTGACCCCATCACTTGCCTGGTCATGCACTCTGGCCTCCCTGCTGTCACCTGTTGGCCTAGAACACCTTTCTCAGGAGTTCTTCTACAGGAGCATTTGAGGCAGTACTTCTCTGCCAATCTGGTTTCGCCAATTTTCCAGGTCTTAGGGATTTTTCGTGGTTCTGATACATCACAAACAACCTTTGTTTTCTTTTATCTATCATTATTTATATTTTAAGATAGATATATATATATATATATATATATCTTAAAGATTTAGGATGGAAGGTTGAGATTGCCAATTTTGCTTAGACCCTCATCTTGAGCCAAAAGATACATGTTCTCAATAAATATTTGTTGGATGAATGGATGGGTTCAATGTCTTTGTAACTTTTACTTTAAAATTTTTCACATTTGAAAAGTAGCTACTGACTGAGCTACTGACTTAGTGACTAAGTTCAAGATGCCTCCTCCACTATTTCAGGAGGATACAGCCCTTGGTGGGGTTTTAAGTGCTTAGCAGGCGAGTTTTCCTTGCTCCCCTCTGTTGTTCCAGATTTCCCCCGGATTGGTAACAAGAGAAAAGATCCCAGTATTTTTCACTTAAATGACCACATCAGCTAGCCCCTGTTAATGTCTCCTGATTTCAAATCCAATTTTGTAAATGTTCCAAAGTACTAGGAGAGTTCAGACTCTAAGGTGTGAAGTGGGCCTGTGCCAGCCCATGAAGGAGATGAAGCCAGTCTTTGTCCTTGCCTTTGAAGGACATGTAGAAGTGCAGTAATCTTGTGTCATCTGAATGAAAGCCAAGGTGCAGGTTTCTTTTCTGTCATTCCCTCTCTGTCACCATTCCCTCCTGGCCAGGAAGCAATCAGGGCAGCAGGTACATTATGGCTTCCTACAGAATGCTGAGAGGCCCAAGCCCAGGTTCTATAGAATGAAACCCTGAACGGGCTGGCAGGACAGATGATATGTTATTACATTTAACCCCACCGAGCACACGGGTACTCATACACACCCTCTCACGGAGATGCCATCTGCTTCTACTGGACAGTCCTCTCTCAATAGTGCGGCTGTTCTTCTCTCAGCCCACCAGGGACGCTCCTGTCCCCGAGGCCCAGTGAAGTTTTATTTCATGAAATCTTTTCTAGGTCCTCCCAGCCATGGGGACACTTTCTCTTCTTTAAACTCTCACAGCGTTAGACAGAGGTGTTCACTTTACCACCTCATTTTATAATTACATTCAACAACACAGAGTATGAGAAGGGGGAAACACTCTCAGGAAGGTAAGGAGACTCACATTACCCAGGTAACACCCAAACTTCAAACCACAGCTTATTAACCTGAAGTTAGGTATAAAGTTAAAAATGTCATTAAACAAAAGCAGTTCTCTGTTCCCTCAAGTTGATCCTGAGTTCTTAATGGCTGTACTCAGAGTACAGGAGCAATGTGAACGTTACACAATGAGAAATGACAGCCTGTGCTTTGGAAGAAGAAAGCACAAGCCACTAGAAAAAGTTGAGAAGAAGCCAAGGAAGGGTTGAGTTAGCACCACACCATAAGGAGAGAGGAAATTGTGTCCTGCAAGTTCTATTTTCTAGGGCAGAGGACAGCATCATTTGAAGGTCTTTGCTACAAGTACCAAATGAAATGTCTCAGAACTCGCAGGCTGGAAATCCAGGGCATCTCATGTGCAAATCAAGATAAATAAAGAGAAGTCAAATTACTTCCTTGCATGAGGACACAGCCATGTTTTCTACATCCTTTCTCTCTTGGTGCCTGGCCAAAGTGGTAAGGCCCTCTAGAAGGCATGTGCACAAGCAGTACCTACCTACACATATGTGCACACATGAATGGATGAACATGTCTCAATCTCTATTGCTTATCTTACCTTTGTAAGCCTGCTGCCTTTCTTTATTTAGAGAAATCTTGAGCTAGGAAGCACTGTAAACAAACCAGTTTTAAGAGCATCAATCTGAGGATACCACAGCCCTCACCACAGTCACAATCATCCCTGTGTGTAAGGGAATTCATTTTCACCGGGGTCAATCACATCCCAGGTACTTCCTGAACAAAACCACTCAGGGCAGTGATCTCTCATGCTGCTCGCTGTCTCCACCTGAGCCTTGGGGCTCTTGCCTGCCTTTCTCCCTCTATCACACACCCAGCAGATGGACTCCTGCTGATGCCTGGATGCTTCTGTCCAGACGCTTTGTGGGGCAGACTGGAGAAGGGGCTCCAGCCTCCCAGGAATGCAATCTTGGGAGAGGTTCTGCTGGAGAAGATGATGGTTTTTCGAGGACTCATCCAGTCTTCCTTGTCTTGTGATCTCCTTGCACAGCCCTGAACTAAACTCCTACCCCCAAGAGAGACAGCAAAGGGAGAGAGTGTCTGTGTGCTCATGGGGCAGGGAGAGAGAAGGTGCTTGTCCAAGGACCCTCGTGCATCTTCAACTTAAGTGAGGACAGTACACGGCACTTCCCTGATTCACTGTTTATGATCCTGCCAATAGCAAAGCAAATTCTAGCAGAAAATCAGCCTCCTTGATAGAAATGGTCTGGCTAAGATCAGTTGGCTCAGGCCCCCATCTCATGCAGGCCCAGACCTCCAGAGGGAAGGGCCCAGCCTTTCTTATTCCAAGTACCCCAACTCCCCTGCAAGAAATGCCAACATGTGCCTAACCTAGGATCATGCCCAGCAATAGCAAAGCCCTTTCCAGTGGCCTGGCTCCCTCTGGGGCTCGAAAATGTTTGAGTCTCTGCCCTGGACATTCAGCAGTGTTGGGACAGACAATAAAGCAATTTGTTTAAAGCCAGTCTTCCGACCAGTTACCCAAATGAGGTCTTCCCTCGAGATCCTAAGTGCTGCTGAGCATGCAGCCTGACCCCATTTCTTAGCAAATTGTAAGCAAGAACTTTAAAAGCTCTGACATGGAAAAGGATATCTAGAAAGGGAACATGGGACACAGAATTCATGACTTTTCTGCCCCTCACCCTGCATGAACCTCATATACCCACAGGATATGGGAGACAGAGAACAGAGCAAATGTTCCAGGGACACTTGGCCGGTGGCCTGCTGGCAGCCTCCCGGACAGCAGCCTTGCCTCACCATGCAGCTAAAGCTGCCCAGGCTCTTGCAGGACAACACACAGGGAAGACTGCCATCATCTTTGCTTCCCTTGAGACCCCCAGGGCAGAGGCTCGTGAGGAAGCTATGCACAGGAACCTCTCCACCAGCTCACACACAGGCTCGCTCATGCGCTGGTGGGTAAGGACACTCAGAGGCTCTGAAAACTGACTTAAAAACAAAATCTAAGCCCAGCCCTTGCCTGACAGTCCAGGGATAAATGTTCACAATCCTTCCAGTCAGCCCAAATACAAACTGTGTAGGCATCCTCCCTGCCCAATCTCCTCTGCTTCCTACCCTTAGTCCTTCTCCCTCCCGAGACCTGGACCCTCAGGCCCACAACCCCAGGACAGCTACAGACCCTTCACAGCCACTGGGTGGACCAGGAGCAAAGTCAGCTGTGGACTATGCTCTGTGTTAATTTGGCAGTCAGTGATAAAATATGAGTCCCAGCTCCACAGGGCATGCAGCTGCCAGGGGCCTTGGCAACCGGACGATTCTGGCCCCTGGAAGGAGCAAAGCAGGAAAGACGCATCATCAGAAATAATCTGAATGCCAGCTGGAGAGAATGCCTCGCTTGTGCTGGCTCACGCAGCACGTGTCTATCTGAGGTGCCATGCTAGGCTCTAAAGGCATAAACAAGTCATGACCCTTCCCCCAGAGTCCTTGCAAGGAAAAGAACACCAAGGGATTACAGGGCTGTGAAAGATGGCCGTGGACCATGTAGAAGCAGCAACCAGCCTTGTAGTGCTTAGGAGAAAGCTCCAGCCTGTGATTCCTAAAGATATTCTACTGCGCACAGGGAAAGCGGGTGCGGGTCTTCATTCTTAGATTTTCCCTCTGGCGGCTGTCCCGGGAGCGGGTGAGCCCAGGTAGAAGGAGCTGGTGGCCAGGTGGGGCAGGTGCAGAGCAAAACAGCAGAACGTGGAGAGAGGGCACAGGAGGCTGAAGAGGATCCAGTCCTGCAGACAGGAGGAAGTTGCCAGCGTGGCAATTGGGTGGGGCTGCAGACCGTGAGGGCTGATGCGGGTCAAAGTGCACCTGCTCCTGGGGAGGACCTGCCCCTGAGAGAGGCCCGATGGTGCACAGCAGGCAGCCAGGGAGGCAGGCATGTCGTCCTCATCATGCACATGAGAACACAGAGATGTGGGGGGGTGAGCGGCTGCTGCAGGCACTGCACTCCTCATGTGGGAGCCCCGGGTGATAGGAAGGACCACAGCCATCCCGCCAAGGAGCTGGTGCTTTCTTCTGAAGGCATCTGCGGAGCCCTAAGGTTGTGCAGCAAAGAAGGAGCAGACCTGTGTTCTTAGACTCACGATCTGACAGCTACCCAGGCAGCAGACAAGCTGATGCGAGAGAGGCAGAGCTCCACAGACAGCAAGAAGGGGACATTAGAGGGACCGGTGACAGGCTGGAGATGGGCACACAGGAGAAGCAGCCACCCAAGAAGGGAGGAGGAGCCAGAAACACCCAGCCAAGTCAACCAAGTGTTGGGTTCTCTGTATCAGTCGATTTGGCCAATGAGGTGGGTACAAGACAGAAAATAAAGAAGACAGATTTGGAGGTCAGGGGAGGGGTTCTGCTGTGGGGTGGCTGAGGCTGGCTCCCCAGGTGCCATGAACAGACCTGGCTCTCAAGATCACCACCTGGGCCTCCAGATTCCATTGAAGCTTGGAAGGGAGCCAGCTCCCCGGTCCCCATCCAAGGAGAAGGTGGGGCTTGGGATGGCAGAATGAGTCCCCCAAGGCCAGAAAGCTCCAGCCTGCAGTGGGGTGGACAGAGAGAGGGGGCGCTGGGAAGGAGTACACTGGGCCAGGCCTGCCAGAGGGGCACCAGGGAACCCAGGGCAGCACTGCCAGGGGAGTTGTGCCAGGAAATTGCCTCGAGGGTTGAGCAGGCAATGGGGCTCCCCAGAGAAGCCTTCCGGGTGCTGTGAGGTCTGAGAAGTAGGGTCCGTGGGTCAGATCCCAAGGGCAGCATGGTTAGGCCCTGCTCGTTTAAAGAGCAATCCTGAGGGAAGAAGGGAAGTGAAAAGAGGGGCATCACAGAGATAGGAAGACATTCAGGCACTCTTACTGCAAAGAGAAGCAATGACTGGCCACAGTTTCATAGGGACTGAGTGGGAGACAGAAATTTCTGGTGAGAGAGATGTCAAGAGGAAAGAGCTGGCAGTGAGATGAATATTTCAGATATGAATGGACAAGGCAGGGGCCCGGGCTCCCGGGGAGGGCGGGCTTTCTTCCCTATAGCCCACATGGGAGAAGAGGCCAGGAGGACCAGGTGAGCAAGCGAGAGAGCTCTGCCCCTGGGGGCTCGGCTTTGAGCGGAGGGAGAGGTTGCTGGGAGCTGCAGCTGGGGACGTGGTAGGAAGTAGGCTGAGGAGACCGTGGGTGTTGCCATCAGTACGAGAGGGAGGAGGATGTGGAGCTGGCCGGGCACTAAAGAAAGACTTTCAGGCAACCCTGGGGATGAAGAACGGTCAGCAGCCTCCTGAGCAGAGGCGGCACAGGACTAGGTTGGGTGCCCAGGTGCTGCCAACACAGCTCAGAGGAAGAGGAGTCAGGAGTCCTGTGTGGCCGTGGGAAGGGATACCCTACACCACAGACCAACCTCAAGGTGACTAAGCAGAGCACATAGGACAGGCAACAGGGACAGAAGAGGCTCAGCACAGCATTCCTCAGGAAAGAGGGCGACTGCCCCAGAGCTGGGGAGTCCTGGGACCACAGCCTGCAGCATGAGACAGTGACATTAGACAGGAGCCATGCAGGAGCTACTCTGGGCACCCTTGGCCTTACTACTCCCAGATCCCCTGCCAACAGCTTCGCTGACTCAGTGCGGAGCCTACTTGGCTGCAGGCTGCACGCTGTGGTCTCCAGAGCTGCATCTTAAAGACAGATGTGGTCAGGGCCACCAGGGTATAGTCACCCCCGGCCCCTCGCCTTGGCTTCTTTCTCCAGCGGCTCTGCAGTGGCCCCTTCTCACTCCCACTTCTTGCTCTTGGATCCTGCTAGCTCTTGGCTCCCCTGACCCATCCCGGCCTGACTGTCCAGTTTCACCCCAGTTGTACTCAGTGCTTCAATCTGAACATTGAGCCCCTGATGTCCCTGGGCTGTGATGAACAGACAGGCAGTTGTGGGGAGGAAGCCTGTCCTTTCCTTCCCTCTCTACAGCCACAGTGCAGTGTTGCCTGTCCTCTGCCCGTGCACCCACTTCCACAGGTAGGGCATGAGCAGTTCCTGCCCTCATGTACCCCCCCAGCTGACTCAGCGATGACAGCTATCACTGTGCCGGGCCCCAGGGAGGGAAATTCAGAGTCAATTGCAGGTGCCAACAAAATGTGAAGCGGGCATTATTTTCACCTTAGTCTCAGAAAGGAGGCTCAGAGAAGTCGAGCAACCTTTCTCTGTGTCACATAGCTTGCAAGTAGCAGGGCCGAGACTCAAGCCAGCCCTCTCTACTACCAAAGCCAAGCATCATGGCCTCTCGGGCTCCACCTAACTTGAAGGACTGAGGGTGTACTCACAATGCCATCCATCCACCATGGAAGCATTTACTAGACTCCCCATGCTGCTTCGAGCTGTAGAATGACTATATTTAGCATAAACAGGAAAAGGTTCAGATGAGCTGAGGCATTAGGCAGATGGGTTGCAATGGGACTCATTCTTATGCAATCTTCAGATTGCCTTCTACAGCTGGAAGGACCCCACGAACTTTGCCTATCTCCTTCTCTTGTTCTCCTTTATAGAAGCACAGAAAGGGTGGGGTACAACCCTTTTCTCATCTACCTACTGGCTGTGACCTAAAGAACAGTCCTAGGGGCTCCCTGTACTCAGCACCCTGCAGAGGCCTTCTGGACCTTTTCAAAGCATCTCCAAGAATGTTCTACTTCTTTCATTGCTGGGATAAAGATTCAGGTGGGCTGCATCTTGGGACACTTGCTGTGCCTTTGTTCTGCCTCAACGCCCACTGACCTTTATCACCATTGCCAGCCAGTCCCACCCACACAGGCGGCTGCCGGATTCCATCATGCTCTTGAACTGGTGGACACTGAGCCAGGGATAGAGGACCAGCAGGCAAACGACCACTGACATGGCCATGGTGTCATGAATCTCATTGAATCCTCTCGAGAAGTTTGTGTGAGAGCAAAGGCTGCTGGTGAGTATGAGTGGAAGGCAGCATGAGCAGAGGTGCCAAAGCTACCAAAAAAACTGAAGTGCAGGTCCTGGAGTGCTATTGCCCTGGTCACTAGAGCCTGGCTGGGTGATGGAGGGATGGGCTCCACCTTGCTGGCAGCCATGGGGAGGCCAGAACACTCTCAGCAGCTGCACAGCCAGGTCCTCCTCGGGCTCTGGAGGCCAATCTGCCCTCAGGATCTACAGTTTGGGGGCCCCTGTCCATACAATACATCTTCTCAGAGCGCTCTGGCCCCTCCATGGCTGCCAGCAAGGTGGAGGAAGTACAATGAGGCAGGGCCCTTTCACGGGTCAGGGCCTTCAGGGGGAGGGTGACAGGGACCCCAACTCACTACACCCCTAGCACTCTGGGATCTGCCCTTCTCTTTGCTGCCCAGCTGGGCAGGCCCCAGGCAAAGGCTGTCCACCAGTCCCTCGAAGCGTAATGGGGACAGCAGACCCCTACTCCGCCATGCTTTTCCATGGAGACACAGTCAGCCCTTCTGCTTCCCTGACTCCCACTCATTGTGACTGATCTCCCTTCACCATTTCTTCACTGGACCTGCCAAGTGGAAGCCCAGACTGGGAGTGGTCCCTCCAGGCTTGTCTTTACATGGCAAGGTTGGGGTGAAAATGGTCAAGATGGGGATTCCATCATGGTGGGCCACAGGAAGAGCATTCTTGTGAGCTCCAAGGCATTCACCCAGGTTAACAGTTGTAACAGATCAGGGAAAAGACTCTAGAGTCAGGAGAGCCCCACCATAGCTGGAAGCGGGATGGCCAGCAACTGGAGAGCCAGAAGCTGGGGAAGAGCACAGTTGGTGTGGTAACAGTTCCCTGGCAGTGAAAGGGCTAAAAGGCCCCTGTGAAAGCCAGCCTGGCCAGCAGGTGCTGAGTAGTCACAAGACAGCACAGTGAGCCAGAGAAAATATAAAGAGAGACCTTTCTCCCGGTGAGAAGGGGGCCTTCCATGAGGCCTAAGTAAATAACCTGGTCAAGCTTGCATCTTTGATTTAGGTACAAGGCAGGTGTTCCCAGAAGATTAACCAGGAACTGAGTTTTCAAGAAAGTGCATTCCTGAGTTATCTACACTGACAGAGACCCTTTCCCCTGTCTTCAATCCTTGTAAAAGCCCCCACCTTTTCTTATTCTAACATTAGTAATTCTTCCAACCATGCTAAGAACTCACTCTGTATGTTCAGGGTAATTGTCAGAGACCCTCAGATGCTTCTGATTATTTCCCCTCTGCCGGATGGAGCGTCCCCCAAAAGAAGATTCGGACACCTCCAGAAAAGGCAACTCAGAGTACTGTACTTGGGGGACTCCTTCATGCTTAATCTGAAAGCTATGATTTCCACACAGGCATTAACACAGGTGAAAAACGTAGCCCAGCTAACAGCATAAATAACACAACCGCTGTCGGAGGGACCCAGCAAATCAGTTTCCACTTTATTAGCCAGTCGGCCAATCATGGATGACCACACAGGGCATGATTTCTCCTCATCCTTAAACATAAAATTCTGTTACAGCAAGCATTTCTTGCTGTCTGCTTGTCAGTATCACAGGGCACATGTGTGAATCAATAAAAGCAAAAGCCACCTGGCCCTCCGAAGCAGATCCAGGTGGGCTCTGAGAGATGTTTTCATCCAAGTTTGATAATCTGGGTCTCTTGTTACAGGGACCAGAGAGCCTTTCCTCCCTTCAATTCTGATAATTGCCTGTGTTGCAGCTGGTTGATAGAAGCCTTCTGAGGTCTTAAAAGACCACGGCACAGCCATTCTCATGCCAGGTAAGTTAACATCTCCCCTGCCACAAGAGAGCCATGGAAGCTCCACACGGTGTGGCCCAGCTCCACACCAAATACTTCTGATCAGCACAGTTGTAGCAGTGGCCATGGGTAGACCACCAAAGAGCCATGTCCCAACTTTGACTCCCTTGGCCAAAAGCAGGGCTTCTGGCTGGAGGGGATTGACACATTCACGTGTTGTTTATTTTTTTATAAAAGGAAACGGAGGCTCAGAGTGTGACTTGCTCTAATTCTATCTGGTAGTCCACAGCAGGGCCAGGCCGGAATTTGGGTGGCAGATCTGGTCAAGGCTCTGAGCAAAAGAGAAGTGTGATATATTGTCTCTCTCACTGTCAGAGAAGGGAGGAGGAATGGGGAACACAGACCAGCCCTGATAGAGCATCTAGCAATCTCACTCAGGCCTGGAAGTCATATCTGGAGGCACCTGTAGACACCAGCCAACGTAACTCCTCAGTTTATAGATAAGGAGACTCCAGCTCACAGAAGAAAAATGAATTGTTCAAGTCATACAGCAAACTTGGGCTACAATTGCCAAAGCTTGGTGCAGCCCAACAACCCACCCATCCCTGACAGCAGATGTTCATCCTTGGTACAAGAGCATATTGTAGTTTTCTGTTTCAACATCCTTCCTTTGGCCTGGACAATGTAAGATTTCTTTCTGGGCATCTTAGTTACAAGGATCCAAATTTCTCAAGGGTCTGAGCCTCCTCTCGGGTGCATAGCTGTTCATGCTAAATGGAGTGAGTGCAGGGAGCAACACACATCACCAGGAGGGCAAGCCAAAACTGCCATTTCTGTTTGGAATCCTTGAGGCATCCTTAAATCCACTTGTTGAGTTTTCTTCCAAGTTCATTCTCAACTATGAGATGCCAAATTGCAGGATCTGTCAATAGCCCCTCACACTATTCTCCACCCAAAAGCTTTCTGCCCCTGTACTTCAGAATAGAATCACAGGTCCTTAGCCCATCATGGAGGCCACCTGTGATGTGGTGTTACTGCCCCTCTACTAGCACTGCCCATTATTTCCTTTGCAAGCATCCAACTAAGCCCAGAAGAGCAGATTTCCTAGAATAACTGGTCTTCTTTCTGGCCCCCAAAGCTGTTATCTCCCTCTTGACAAATCCCTGCCTACCCAAATACACACTAGGGTGTATGCCTTCTCTGCCCTTAAAGACAGAGTCTCTTTGGTTTATTTTTGTTGTCCCCACCTAGAAGAGCTCAGCACATGGTATCTCTGAATAAATAATGAGCAAATGAACAAATGTATGCATGGAAAAATTACACTCACCCTATCCTATTCCATGCCAGGGAAAAAAATCAACTACTACAGAAAAGAGAATAAATGGTATCTTGGGATGTTCTCAGCTGAGCACAAATGAGACAGCAAGTTGATGAAGGTGTGACACTGCTTTTGGGATTTTCCTTAAACACATTAAAGAACAAGAAACACATCACATTAAGAAAGAAAGGCATCAAGTATATCCTCATGGTTTATGTGCATTTTGTAACCAGGATTTTTGGCTGGGTAGATAAACAAACAAACAAACAACCTTCTTTGCTTATATAATTTTGTTCCTTTCAGTTAATGCTTTAAATAAGTGAGATGTGCTGTACATCTTTCCCTGCTAATGCTATTTGCTTTGTGTTCCTGCACAAAAATAACTCTCCGTTCATACTGCTCCCCAAAGTTGTGACAGATCCCTTCTCCCTTATTCATTCCAGTCATTCATAACTGAGAATTTTGGGGCTGCTCAGAGAGGCCTCCTCAGCCCCACAGGTCTAGCTATGTTAAGATCAGGCTGGTCAATCCCCAGTAACCTCTAGGAGAACCCCAGAAATGGAAGGATTATTTTGTGCCTACAATTTCTCTACACAAGAATGTGCAAAACTGGTCATCCTGGGGATAAAAAAAAAAATCATCACCATTACGAGGTGACAGCAGCTCTTTGCAATGTGCATATCTTGTTCCTGGCTGGTTTTCCTGTAACCACTAGGATGAGTCCTATGATACAGGTGCTGAAAGGTTAAGTGGCTTGTCCCAGAACACACCACCTGGCAGAGCAGAGGGACATTAAAGACCTGTGTTTTCCTTCAGTGCTGCAGGAACCCTCCACCAGAATGCTATGGACTTCTAACTTCTTGGCACTGTGGAGAAAAGGCTACTATAATCTTCCTTGATATTTTAATCTACCTGATCATCCATGGCCAGAGAAAATCTTCCAAAAGCCCAGGACAAATGGGTTCACAAGCTCATGTATATGTGCAGGCATTCCCCAGCACTCATACTCTTCAGCCTAGAGCCAGCAACTAGAAAGAAATTCTTGGGGTAGCGTCATTGTTGCAGACATGAATTCTCCCTTCCAGAGCTGCCCAGGATTTGGATTTATGGCTTTATTCTCCTAAATGGTTCTTATCCTAGGGCTTTTCTTCTGCTAATCTCACTATTTCTGTACACATTTCCCCAGACTTGCACCCTTCACTATCTTCCAAAATGGACACAAGGTCCCTAAGCCTGTGCAGTGAGTAATGCCTTCCATACCCTCTCCATCTGCCTGCAGATGGGAGGACAGGACTAGCAGGTCTGCCTAATAAACACATTTACTCCATTTAAACCTGCTTCTGCCACTTCCAGCCCAAAGTCACAGCACCCATCAGGATGCTGCTAACCTTCCAAAATACTATAATTTCCTTGCCCACCCTCTTGGCTTCTGCCTGCTCCTGACAGCTGGTCTTCAAAGAGTCAGTTCAGACACCTGGGTTGAAAAGCAGAGGCTTCCTGATGGGAATGTATAAACAGCCCGGGCTTCTACTCTGATGGATGCTTGGACTTCCTTACCCCAAGGTAGCAGGGAGGCTACTTCAGAAGAAAGGGCAGCATGTGTCTGTTAATGATTATTCTCTGTCCCGGGAGGTTAGAAGGGGCTGTTGGTAGCTTCTGTTAATTCCGTTGGGGCAGGCAAGCAGCACCTGGCAGTTGGTTCTGAGGTTAAGCCGAGGGCCCTGGGATGGACTTTTAAGTGGACGGTTGGCCCTTACATTATAAGTTAGTCACTTCCTTGTCACTGGAGCAAAATACCTGATACCCACAGTTTAATGAAGAAAGCCTTATTGTAGCTAACAGCTTTCAGAGATTTAGTCCATGGCTGGTTGGCTCCAAGGCAGAATGGCCTAGTGGAGGAACACTGCTCACCCCAAGGCAGCCAGGAAGCACAGAGAAGAGGGAGGAGCTGTGGACAAGAACGCAGCTCTCCAGGCCGCACCCAAGTGACTGCCTCCAGCAAGACCTCGTCTCCCAACAGCACATTGAGCTGCAAACACCCCCACGGCCTATCACCTTCCCATACAGTGCCTGAGCCTCTGGGGATATTTTAGATCTAAACCATAGCACATCACGAGCCTAAGTTAGTACCAAGGAAGTGGAATACTAAGGAGAAGAGATATTTGCAAAGAGAGCCAGGTCTGTTGTTAGTCTTTGGCTTCCATACACTTCACAAAAAATTAGCACAAATTCTAAGCAGCACAACTTTTTCCATCTCCTCCTCATTTCTACATCATAGTTCCCTGTTGGTAAAGTAATATATCTCAGAAGCAAGAAGGGAAAAGGATCACAGAAAGTGCCCTAGATCACCTACAGAAGCCTTTGTTGGAATTAGGTGGCGGATCTCTGAATCGAGCTGTGCTCACTGGGTCCCACTCTCGAGCTCCATCACTGACAGAGGCGTCTCTGCATGTTAGACGGACAAACACCTAAGTGCATCTGAGCTTGAAATCCTTTCGTCAGCACAAAAACAAAGCACCAGCAACTTCGGGCCATACCTGTTAGGAGAACCCCAGTCTCCAAACTGCAGTTAAAAATGGGCAAATAGCCCAAGTGCTGACCAAGACTGGGAATGTCCCTCCCCCGTTCCTCACGTTCTCTTCCACTGGGGTGCTGAAAACCCCAACAAGGCCAGTTGTGCAAACATTACCATAGAAGAGACTCTACCATATAGAAACTTCCTGGGAGCCTGGCTTTTTCCCATGCCTTTTCCTTGTGAGCCTGGAAGAGACAAACAGGCTGAAATCCAGAAGCCCCAAGTTTGAATCCTGAATCTTCTTATTAGTTGTAAGACTTTGGACAAATTACTTAACCTCTCTCTAAACCTCAATCTACCTAATCTATAAAATGGGGATAATAATGGGTAAAGTTCACAGCACAAATCCAGAATATACTTAGAGCTCAATATGTTTACCTCATTTGCCCCCATGCCCCATTCTGTCATTCTCTTCCTTCCTATAACCCTAACTGCAGCATTTCCTATCAAAAGCCAAAGGGTAGAGTGATTACAAAACCTAGGCAGGCAGTGCTGGACAGCCGAGTTTGTTTACCAGTCTAACCTACATAATTTCTCAGAAATGACAGGAGAGTTGGGGCATAGTTGCAGAGTGACTCTTGACCTATTTTGCTCCCTGGAGATCTCAAATGGGACCTGGACTGCAGGAGGTCTGCTGCCACCGACCCACTCTGCCAGAGAGGTGGCCTTGCCGACTGAGGCTCTGGTCTGCCAGCTGGACTGAGCGTTTCGCGGCATCTGGGCCACCTCATGGGTGGACTGAAGGCATCGAATGAATGGCCGCTTTTAAGACTAAGTCTGAGTGGTTCCCGATGGTCAAAGAGGGTCACGGAACAGTAAACTCACAATTAGCCTCACCGAGGGGTAATTAAAATGTTTAATCTGAAGTTCACCATAAAGTGGTGTGATCTTGTGTAAAGGTAATGGCAGGGGTAGTCAGAGGGACTGGGGAACTTCTCAAACTCACCCTCCGTACCTAGTGAGGCATCTGCGTGGTTCAGCTTGACCCTCATTCCAGCTCTGATGCTCTCTCCACAGTGTGGGAGGGACAGGGACCCCCACCCTCTCTCCCCTCTCTGACTACTTCCAAGCTGGACAGAGGGCAGAAGGAAGACCTGCTGGCCATCGCTCGCTACCACAGGCTCCACTAACCCTGCCCTTCTGTGCATCCTCTGCCTCAGCGTTCTCTGGTACCCACAGCTCTCTCCTGCTTACTGTCAGGAGCCTTGCGTTTCCTTTGCCAACTTCCCTCACAAATGTGTGTGTATTGTTTGCTTCAGTTTGCAAGTACAGTTCAAGAGGCCCAGACCCGATTGCAAAACAATCACAGTGACCGCATCTGCCCTTGGAGTGGCTTTCTGAGGCCTCATGGGGCTGGCCACGGTGTGCAGGGGCAGGGGCAGGAGCATGCTAGGCTGGATTGGCATCAGGAAGCCCCAGCCATTCCCTGCAGCCTTAGAAACATCTCTAATACACAGGCAAAGCCTTTCTGTCAGGGTAGAGTGAGGAAGTGGGGAGTGCAGGGTCCTCTCATCCATGCCTGAGGCAGATGGAACAGACTAACCCACATTTGGGGCTCTTCTGTCACTTTACCCGGAGTTCTTATTCTCCTAGTTAGTCTAAAACAAGGCTGAACCCAGAAAAGGTATCTGGCTGGAGGATAGAGTCAGCTCTCCAGCCACACTAACAGAAATAAACTACTGTGTCCATTGACTATGAATGCACTATTCAGGGGGAAGAAAAACTCCCAACTAGAAAAGCAAGTGTACTGGTTTTCATATTATCCTTTGTATACTGATGCTTCATAGTCTCGAAACTTTCGACGTGAGGCTATGACAGCATATGCTTTTACACATTTTCCTGATGCAGCAAAGATGAGAGAAGATCAGGGCGGCCACAGAGCCTGTGGTGTGAAGTCAGGATACTCTCCCAGCGGCAGAGCGGAGACCTGGAGGCCCCGTGCCAACCAGGTCCAGGGCTCCTTCGAGGGCACCTGCAACTGCCCCTGCTCTCCCCAGCTCCAGGCAGTTCATGGTGCTCGGGGACCCCAGGCTTGCCCCACAAAGTGCCCCAGGTCCTAGAGAACCGTTTCATCATCCAGGCCATCTCTGCAGAGAAAAGCACAGGGCCTCCATACTCCAGCACAGCCCCTCAGGCTTGGCTTGCTGAGGCAGGCGGGGTCAGCGAAGTCCAGCAGGAGCTTGCCACACTCACGACATGGAAACAGACTGTGATAGCAGACCCCACAGTTTCTGTTTCCATGTTCGTGCGTGTCCCTGCCACAGGGTTTTCTTTGTGTCTGAGAACCTCTGTTTTCTCCTCCATGGATGTGTAGTCAAGGAAGGAAGGAGAACGTGGTACTTCAGCCCCTTTTCGGCTGCTGCTTGCTGCCCCCCTGCAGCATCCCTCAGTGGTGGATCCAGAAGGTCACCCCTACCGTCTCAGCAGGGAGATGGGCTGTGGGTAGAAACAGCACAGCTCTGCACACCACTCCCAAGGCTTCCGTGTCCTGACGTCGCCTCTGCTAAAGGACTTCTGTGTGTGATTCAGTTTCTGGGTCTCCTGAAATTCTACAGAGAATGGGATGGTGGCAAATAACAGGGGTATTGACTTTCTCCGTGGGAAGCGGATGTCTGGCTTTTGTGAGATTCTCAGAGCCATCTGGGATCCAGAGCATTTCATCAAGTGGCTCTGTCTCCTGAGGCATCACTGCAGGACCTGTAGTCGGAGCTGCGGAGAACAGGGAGGTTAGAGGAAAGGCTACAGAGGCAAGTTGCTTTTCCCCTGGTGCTTCGTGCCATGGTGGCATTAACATTTGTGAGAGGGTCGGAGGGAAATGTGGCAATAAGGAAAGGCAGCTGTTCTGCTGAGCCCAGCTCATGCCAAGCACTGGGCTAAATGGCTCATGCACTTTCTCTGGCTTTGTCTTCACAGTTCCCTGTGCAATGGGTCTCATTGTCCCCAACTTACAGGGAGCAAACAGGCTCAGAGCAGCTGAGGTGCTGCTGGATGACACTTGGACAGCAAGAGACAGACCTGGGCTTAGGACCTTGTAGCCCTGCCTGGGTCTAATGTCACTGATGTGGGACAGTGGGACCTGTCACCTACCCTCCTGCAGATTTAAATTCTAGCACCTTCAAAGAGCAAACGCTGTGTGCTTTTTCCCCTCTACCTGTCTGGCGATTTGTCAGAGTAGGAATAGACAGGAGGACACAGGCCATCTTCAGATGAGTAGGCCCCATTCCACATCTTCCCAAGACCCTGTGGGGAGAGGGACTGGGTGTGTACTCAGATCAGAGCTGGGGGACAGGCAGCGTCATTTCCCCTGTGGAGCAGTGTAGAGGGTGGAAAAGGGTGGGCACAGCACAGGAGGAAAGCAGGACTCCCACCAAACAGCCCTCTCACAGCCAGGAGCTGGGCGGAGTGGTAAGGCAGAGGAGCAAGTCCGTGTGCCTGGGAGGAGGGGAGGCTGGAGAGGGCAGCGAGACCCCTGGGACCGGCTCTCAGGCTCTGCTCCTGTATCTGCCTGAGGCTACTCCAGGAGAAGGAGCCTTTCTCCTCACTCCCACTGCTCACATGCCAGCCTCCAGGCAAGTTCAAGGACCCCTGCTTTGGTACCAGACTATGGACAGAGCCCGAGCCCGGCCAGAGGCACCAGGGTTTCTGGGTTGCTGTCAGTGAAAGCAAGACTTTCTGTATGTAGAGATGATTGCATCAGCAGCAGCTTGGCACTAACTAGTTGTAGAACAACCCAGAGCTTTCCTCTGATGGAAAACACGGAAGCCCCGACAAGCTCATGATCTTATTTCTAGTGAGAGTCAAGTGACAGAATCTGTATTATTTTTTAAAACCGTGCAATGACATTTTGAGATGTATTGATTCAAATATTGTACTTTTGAAGCTTCAGTTCAAAGCTCCCTGTATTTTCATGCATCCTTTTAATGACTGTCAGAACTAAAGAACTTTCAAAGCCACAGTAGGTTCACCTCACAGACTATGTTGTTAACAAGAAGAAGTGCATATGTATTTATTTGCTTGTTTAATTTATTTGCAGTACTGGGGATTGAACCCAGGACCTTCCAACTGAGCTACATCCCCAACCCTATTTTATTTTCTATTTTGGGACAGGATCTCACTAAATTGCTAAGGTGCCCAAGTGGGCTAGAACTTGTGATCCTCCTGCCTCAGCCTTCAGGAATGCTTGAATTACAAACGTGAAACCTCATGCCAAGTTTGCCTTGCTGTTTTCTCATCCTTCATAATTGCTACTATCTTTAGCCCATACACTTCTTTGCAGGAAACTTTTAAGCCACGCCTCCATTTTTGAAGGCTCATTTGGTTCAAACAGATGTGACATTTTGCTGGAGCACAGCTGAACTGCAAACTTTTGCAATGTGCTGAAACCTAGTGAACTGGTCAGGAGCCACTGTCAGCACTTGTGCTAACAAAAGTGACTGCCTGACACTGTGCAGATCAATTCTTTCAAAGGTAAAATATCTACAAAAGGTCTAATACCCTGGCATCTATGTGCGCCCCACTGTATAGAGACCAACCTGTTTGTTGGCCACATGCAGAAGGATGAGGCCGGAGAAGAGGCAACTTACTCCAGGCCACACAAGCAGACATGCCGGCCAGGGACTGAACCTGCAGGGCCACACGCCCAGGGCTCTCTCACTTCAAGGACCCTCTGCCCATGTATTCTGATATTCATGGTATACTCAGGTCCCTGTCCTAACTGCCCACTGCTTGTCTGTCTCAGGCTCAGGGGAGCCTAGACACTCTGCTCTGTACCCACACTCCCCACTTCTGGCTCTGCCCCGGATTCTAGGGAGAAATGCGGGTGTTTCTAAGCAAGGGGAACAGTCTCACGTGACAGAGTGATCAGGTGGATGAAAGCAGATTTATCCAGCGACAAAGCAAAAGGGGAAGCCACTGTGCTTCGGGTCACTGCCAGGCAGTCACCCCATCTGAGTCCACAGGAGCCACTTCGAGTCAAGTGGCGACAGTGGTCTCTGCGATTGAAGCTTTAACACTGCGTTAGTGGCCATTGCGAAGTGAAAATTTTAATAGCAACTGTTGAGTATGAACATTAAAACCATGAGCTAACAATGGAATTTTATGCTAATGAGTGAACTGGAAAAGGGGACCAGGGATGGGAGGAGACCGGAAGGAGGGGAGGAGAAGAGAAAGGTCAGGATGCAATATGTATGTGTACCGATTACCCACGAAGAGCATTTTTATTATGTGTCACAAACACGCTAATTCTTTAAAAGGGAAGAAAGATGCTGGCATGTAAATTGTGAGAGAGCCAATCTAAGGTTCTAGAGAGACGAGAATGCTATTAGAAGATACATTAGCTTGGTTTGTTTTTAATGGATCACACAGCTGGGTGTGTCAGCAACAACCTTGAGTTTCCACAGGGTTTTCCACCAGTGAGACGTGTGCTAAAACCCCCATACCGAGGGGGAAGAGGGAAATGCTTCACCCAAGTGGTGCTAAGCACACATTTGAACTGCACAGAAAATAAGACTTTAAACATTTGGGGCTCCACCTAGGGCTGCTTCCTTCTAATCTGTCCAAGTAAGGACATAAAGATATGCAGGGAAGGAGATCCAACAAAGTTAAAGCTTCCTAAGGGTTAAGTGAAAACAAATCATACAAATTCTAGATAAGATTTAGAGTGCTGTTAGATTTATTTTTACTGCTTCTATTATGTAAAGAACCAAAAGAGAGTGCAAACAATGGAAAGTACATCAAAAAGCACACACGATTAAGTGTTATGTATGATATTTTTGCAAATATTTTCCTTAGGGGTTAATGTTTTTCAAATATAAAAATATCTTGCAAGTCAATATGAAAAGCATTAACATCTAGTGGAAATATGCACAGAGTTCTTGAGCCCAAAAAAATCACAGAAATTAACTTTAAAATATCAATAAAAATTAAATGCTTCCATTTGTAAAAGAAACCACCAACATTTTTAAAGGACACTTTAATGCCAAAAAGTAATCTCTGCATGTCTAAAGGTAAAGAAAAGCCCCATAAATTGAATGTGCTTAACTTTATGAAAACTAATCACCCTGTTCATATTTTCTCATTCCACCACGAACAAGCCCCTGAAACCAGTCTCTGGCCCACTATTTGGGTCACTTATTCAAAACATTCTGAGCACACGGATTAGCCTGTGCACATGGTTGCTGGGGTCTAATCTGCACAAGCACCCAGAAATGGTTGGACCAACAGAGGAGGCCTCCAAGGGGACACTTCTCCCATGGCCCCAGGCCTCCTGGGAGAAAAAGTGAGACTGTGGGAAAACCCACCATGCCCCCCGAACTTGGGGTGAAGATGCTGTACCAGATTACCATGGCGAGGCCTCGGCAGTGGGCAAAGGTGGCCCACGCAAGCGGGAGTGGTAAAAAGAATGCCCTGCTGGAGAGCAGCAGCTGGCAGGGGGCTGACAGCCAGACTCTGTGCTCTGCTCTCCTCAGCAGAGAGGGCTGACAGAGCAAGGCCGGGTCTCTGGTGCTTGAGAGTTGCCAAGAATCAAGGCAGCCGAGGTAGATGACAACAGCAGCCCCTACGAGAACTGCCAGAGGCTCTGGTACTCACACCAGCCATGTGATAAGCATGCCCGAGTCTGAAACCATGGCTAAGCAAGGTGTGCTCCTTGCATGGAGACCCACATAAGACCCCTCCCCGAAGCAGTCTCACTCCACTTCTCTGAACAGTGTTCCCTCCACAACAGGCAGGACCCCTCAGAGCGGGCTCCTCACAGACTGCCAAGTGGCTGGACACCGACCTGCCTAGGGCTGCATAGAACTCCCCAGCTCCGCCCTCCCAAGGAGCTGTGCCTGTGTCTGCAGGTACTGTAGACATGGGTCAGTGAGGCCTGCGTTTCTCAGATGGCTTCCTCCAAAGAGCCCCAGGTCCTGGAGGGGCAGCAGTGAGGATTCCGGCAAGCTGGAGGACAACTTGCAAACGCCAAGTCACTCTGTCTTAGGCATCTGGTGTACATCACTCCTTCAGTCCTCACTGTATCGCTGCCAGCCTGTGGCTATCCTTGTTTTACAGCCAAAGGCAGACACGAGAGGAGCTTAGAGAAGGTCTGTAAGGTGAAATTCAACTCCAGTTCTGTGTACTTCCAAAACCCATATTACAAGCTTACTCTCCTAGAAAGAGTAGCCGAGGCAGAAAAAATATCACCTAGAAATAACTTCGATGAACACCAGAAGTGTATTATGTATATTATATTGACAATATGTAATTAAATGCAGATATTAAAAAGGAAATGAGCCTGGTTTATAGGTTATGAACCTAGAAAAAAATTTTTTTAGTTTATTGAGACAGGTCTCACTATGCAGTTCAGTTTAGGCTGATCTCAAACTTGCCACAATCCTCCTGCCTCAGCCTCCCAAGTGCTGTGATTATAGGCGTGCACCACTACACCAGGCCAATGAACCTAGAAAATTTCATGTTATATGACTAGGGAGTAGAAGGAGAAGTTGGTCCTGCATCTGCGGATCTCTTTGTAGAAGTGCAGGACTCATTACCAGCACAACCTTGGATGCCTGTGGGGGTGGGGCTGAAGGAGGAGGAAGGTGACCTCCCACTCTGTCTCCAGACAAGCATGTTTCATGTTCCCAACTTACAGGGAAAGAGAAGACCCTTGTCCTGTGTGCTCTGCATAGACAGTAGGAGGTGAGTCCTCATTTGCGGAACTGAGTCAAAAAGAAGCCAGCAAGCCCTCCCCACCAGTGGAGGACAGCCCACCAGCAGACTGTCCAGAAGAGAGGTGCAAAGCCTGTGCTTCCAAAGACAACGGGTCCTCCTGCCTCCAAGAGGAGGGCACTGGAGACAAGAACAGGCAACGACTTTGTGCAGCGCACTCTACCATCACCCAGGCCTGGCAAGGGCAGGAGAAGCTGTCATCCATCACCTGGAAATCACTTCACCCTGATGCGAACTCACTCATGGCTGCTGGGCTTCCAGGCAGCCCGATCCTATTAGCAGCCCCTAACCCAGTTGTGGCTGTTCAGTCCCAGCCCAAACTTGTCCAGGCCAAAAGGGACAGCTGAGCCCAGTCAGCTGCATGACGACTGTCTCCTCTTAGAAAAATCACTGGCGACGTGAAATCTGTAGTCTATTAATAGAGAGCTCCCACACTCTGACAATAGCAGCTCACAAAAGGGAGAGAGACAGACAGAGAGAGGAAGCGACTACCAGGGCTCTGATGGATGAAGCTAGAATTGTATCACAGCTTACTTGGGGCCGCCAGCATTGAAAAGATGGAAAGCTTTTGCCTTTCAAAGGCACGAACTTGAGAGTTACTTGTGTTCCACAGCATTTGTGGGAAGGTGTTTAAAACTCGAGTGTCAAAGACAAATTGCACAAAGAGGTGTGGCAGGAAGAGTCAGGGGTCTCTTCGGGACTTTTAGGTTAAGTCAGTCCCAGGTGGATCCCAAACATCGCCACAGAATAACGGGACAGGGCGAGGACACGCAGGGGACTGTTCCTGGGTGTGGAGGAGGCCTGGAGGAGCCCAGGACCTTCACACAAAGTTACAGCCCCCTGGAGGCCACACCTGCATCGGCGCCCTGCGGGCTCTGCACCCTGGACCCTGACCTGACTCTCGCTCCCGAGGGAGGAGTAGTTCAGTAGCTGTCTGTTCTTGGTGACAGAGCCCGTCTGGGACCAGTCCCCTGGTGTCCATAGCAGAAGCAAGCGGCTGTCCACCCCAGGAGGTGGACGGAATGCACAAGCTGGGGCTCAGAGAAGGTGCAGCGGCAGAGACACGCTGTCCTTCTGCTCCGCCGCACAGCGCTGCAGGGGTGGGCAGCGCCCCTCCAGGCTGGGCTCCCTGAGCCTGGAGTATCCTCCCCTCCTTCCTGCTCTGGGCAGGCAGGGCTTGAAAGACCCATGGTGGGGACCGGCACAGCCAGCACTAGAAAGGCTTCTGTTCCCCGACAGGAGAGAGCAGAGTGACATGCGATCCTCCAGAGCGTCCACCCGCCCGGGCTCCTGCCTCTGCCCGCGGGTGAGGGCCTCCTGCAGCCGGACGCTGCCGCGTTTCAGGCTGGCTGTGTGGAAACCCTTGCCCCTCATGGCGTCTCAGCGGATGGCGGAGCCACCACACTCAGCACTCCAAGTCTCGCACACGCACACTCGCTGGACACCCGCTCCCATGCAGTCTGCCATCAGCCGCATCTTCTGAGCACTCCTGCTCCTGGCTACACTAGCCGCGCTGAGTGAGGAGGGGGAAAGACGCCTAGAAGCTGCGGGGCATCTGGAAGGAGAGCCGCTTTGTGGTGTGTGTTTAAATAGCTCTGCTCCCTAATTTTGTGCTGCTTAGGGTTATGTTAAAATTAGTATGTACAGGAAATAGCAGTGAAGAAAGATGGCCCAGAAACCATTTTTAGAATAGTAAGGAGAACACTGGCCTGCTTTTGATTCTGTGCATGGGGACAGACTTCAGAGAGATGGGAACTGGCAGCCTGGAGCTCAGCTGGCTCCAGTCTGCTCCCCGGGACTGCGTCAGGCTTCTCTGAGCTACCGGGCCTGGGGTCCTCCCGTGTCCCACGGGGTCGAAGGGAGGCGGCTTCCTGGGCCGTGCTGTCCACCCTGTGCCGCCTGACGTGGTTGCGCTCTCCCTTCCACCCGCTTCTCCACTCCACCTGCATGGACCCACTCCAGTGCCCTTGGAATGGCGTCCTGTCACTGTTTTGTGGGCAAGCGTGCTGTCATCACAGGAGAGTGTTACCAACTCCCCCGTGAATGCAACCTGTACAATAGACACGTGCCAATAAACAAATTTTAAAAAGAGATGAAAACTGAAAAAGATGGTATTGTGTTATGCCTCTCACTTTTTCATTCAACAATTCAAACTCTTGTAAATCTAGCACACAGTTTCTGACCACCCCAGAGCCCCTGCGGGAGATGCAACCAGAGGCGGAGCCCTAAAGGACTGTGATTTGTTACAGATGTGCAAACCGATGGTGAGATTTCACATGTAAGTTAGGAACCGCAGGAGAGTAACAGTAACTAATAGTGATGCAGAGTAACCATACCAATGGCCCACAAGGGAGGGATGTGAACCCGGCCTGTGACCCTGACCCCGTGAGCTGACGAGAGACTCTGCAGGGTCTGTGATGAGATGGGGCCGGGCCAGGGGCAGCAGCGCAGCACAGCACAGGCCACCACACAAGGGGCTTAAATGTGCATTGTGCCGCCGCCACAGTCACCGCCATAACCCAGATGGCCACCACGTGGCCCAGCGGCAGTGGACACAGTGCAGACAGTGGGCACAGAGGGACAACTGGCTTCCCAGAGTGACAGAGCAGACAGGACAGTTGTCATGGTGCTACTCACAGACTGGCAGTTCAAAACACATGCATTGTTTCTGGAACTTTCCACTAATATTCTCAGATTGCCATTGACCTTGAGGGACTGATACCACAAGAAAGAGAAACTGCAGATAGTACCCACCGCGTTCAACCTGTCGTGTCCCAGCTCTGCCACTCACTAGCTGTGTCAGCCTGGCCAACTACTTAATCACTCTGTGCCTCGGGCTAACACACAGTGAGAAATGCCCACTGCACGCCCCTCCATACCATCACAACTGCAGGTTGGTGTAGACACTGCTACTCAGGAGACTGGGGCAGGATGGTCGCAAGTCACAGGCCAATACTGTCTCGACCCCTAAAAAAACAGTATCGGGCTGGGCTGCAGCTCGATGGAGAGCTTCCCCAACATGCGGGAGGCCCTGGATTCAATGTTCAGTACCACAAAGAAAAACTAAAAAGTCACCCATCCCTCATTTGATCCTAAATAGTTTATTAAAAAGTGAATCTTAGTGTGATCATAGTCAGCAATTTTTTTCCTTTATAATCTGTGCGATTTGAGTACTTTTGTTAATCTTTCCCCCAAAATTCACATGTACACACACACACAATTTCTCTCAGTATTGTAGTTCTGCCTTTCCCATTTAGTTCTACATTTGCAGCTTATTTCTGTCTATAACAATAGCGATCTGAACGATTCGTTTTTCCACATCTCACCAATGTGTAAGCCGCCCTTCTCCCGCTGATGTGCACTTCCTCCCTCATTACAGACTGTGGGCGTGCTGCACGTGCCCGGCAGACAGGAGTTATTTTCTCCTACTTTTTTATTAGTATGTGCTTGCAATGCACAGGAACTGCACTCATCTTGGGGAGTTGGTGCTCATATGGCACCGTGAGCCTTTTTATCTTCCTTCCCCTTCCTCTGCCCCATCGCCTTCCTGACTCCAGATCCCCTTCCCATTTCCACAAAGTAACCTCCCTGTTTCCTACCATCTCTCCTTTATTTTTCTCTTTAAATTATTTATCTTTGGGGGTCTCTCACATAAGAGAAGCCACATAATAGTTAGCCTCCTGTGTTTGACTTATTTCACAGCACTGTGGTCTCCAGCTGCATGCAGTTCACGATGCATTTCATATTTATGCCCCATCTTCCTTATCCATTCGCTTGCTGATGGCACATAGGCGTGGTACCCAAGCACGGGCAGCTGCTCAGGAGCTGCCTCTGCAGTCCGAGTTAGCAGCCTGGCGGCTGGTCCTCCTGTAGTGCGCTCACAGCAGGTGGTAGGGTGAGCCTTCTGTTTCCTTTTCTGAAGCTGTCTTCGGAAGTGACAGACCTTTATTATCTCCCACGCATGTTAGGGCATGTGTTCTAGGCCAGGCCCCAAACTCTTCCATACATTCTTGCTGAAGAGTCACTGCACTTGTGGGTTAGTTAGAGAATTTGTACTTTAATATTAAGTTATAACATGGTTCACCTCCTCATTACCTGAACCCTATAATAACCTTTTAACGGTGTTCACAATTTTTGTCCTTAAAGGTGCTGCACATTATTTCTTAAGACCATAGATACTTCATGAGTATTGTTCCCTCTGGAAAGTGTCTTTTTTTTCTTCTATATTATAATTAGTTATAAAGATCACTATCAACTTTCCTAAGTTGCCTTTCCGTCCAACAATTTTGCTGGTATTTCTTATCAGCATGGTGATTTGTCTCTTGGTCCTATTATCTTAGTATTGTTCTCCACTCTTGTTCTTTATTTGTTTATTCCTTTTTCTTGAATTAGTACATTGACCAGGACTTCCGGTAGTGTAGTGAAAGGCAAGTGTTTTGCTGTCCCCTTCCTCTTTATTTTTATTTTATTTATTTATGTATGTATTTATGTATTTATCTATTTATTTATTGGTACTGGGAATTGAACTTGGGACCTTGTGCTCACAAGGCAGGCAGAGGCACCACTGAGCTAAATTCCTGGCCCTTTACTTTTCAAAGTAATTAGTAGTTTTCCTGCTGGTGTATATGTTCATGGTCAATTTTTAATATATAAGACTTTACCAAATTAAAAGTGCTATTCCCAGTTGTATAGCTATTTACCTTTATATGTTGTTTTATGATTTTGAGCCATCTTTGTGCCTAAATTTACTTCTGGAGTGAATATACTTGCCCATTATACACTTTTCAATACATTCATAAGTTCAGTGAGTTAATATTTAATTAGGACATCAAAAAAATAGACTGTAATATTCCATTTTCATCTGATCTTGGCTTTGAGGCTATACTATCATCATAAAAATAAGTCAGGTAGCTGGCACAGGGGCACACATCTGTAACCCCAGCTACTCAGGAGGCTGAGGAATGAGGATCACAAGGTCAAGGCCAGCCTGGGCAGCTAAATGAGGCCCTCGCCAAAATAAAGGTAAACAAGGGTATAGCTCAGTGGAGCAGCCTTCTCCAGTTTCAAATCCATCCTCATGCCATCCATCCCTGAAGTAAGGCGGTCGGCCCTCCCCTCCCCTCCCTCCTTCTCTCCCTCCCTTCCCCCTCCCCATCCTCTCCCTCTCTCTCCCCATTCTCCTCCCGTTTCCTGAAAGTTTGGTTCCTTTAACCTGTGGTGGGGTCTGCCTGTACAAGCGTGGGCTTGGCCCTTTTTCAAAGGTGGATAGGGAATAGTTTTAGTTAGTTTTAAATTGCATTGATGGCTATAGTTCTGCTCAAATTGGGTTACATGAGAACACATCCAGCTCAAAATTATATGTAGGTTTTCAAATCTTTTGCTTTCCATAATTCTAATAAACTGGGTAGGCTGTTATTTCCTCTTTTTTTCTTCTTCTTCTTTCTTTTTTTGGTACCAGTGATCAAAATCTGGCCCTTGTGCTTGCAAAGCCAGTGGCGAAACCACTGAGCTAAATCCCCAGCCCTGTTTCCTCTTTTTAGTACTTCTATTTTCTTGTATGTCATTCCTTCTTGGTCATTTTTGCCAGAGATTTGTTTTTCAGAAAAGATGCTTTTAGTTTGATAAATCATCTTTATCATTTTACTATTTTATTTTGCATTATTTACACCTATAATTCTGTGGGTCTTTTTCTAAATCTCTGGTGCTTGGGTCATTTGTTTTCAATCTTTTTTACTGGATACTGAATCTATTATTTAAAGTTATAAATTTTCCTCAAGGTGCCCGTTAGCAATGCCCTCCACACTTCAACTTGTAGAGCTTCTCTTGTTGTTTATTATATTTTTTATTTCCATATGTGTTCTTCTTTACACAGAGACTTTTCTGGAGAGATGAGAATTTTTGTAATCTCTGCTTCCTTGCAGTTTAGAGTTACTATGGTTGACCTCTTATTTTTGAAGCTCCTTTTAGAACTTTGAAATAGTTTTTTGTTTTCTTCTTTAACCAGTGTTCCTGTTGAGAAAGTGCATGTTAATTTGATTCTTGTTTTGCTTTTGTTTTTTCTGAGCCATCTGTCTTTTCTCACTGGAAGATTTATGTTCTTAAATTTCATTGTATGTGTGTCTAGTGGTTTTTTAAATTTTTGTATTTTCATCTACTTTGCCTATGACTCTTATAATTAGAAGTCTTGTATTTATCCTTAGTTCTGGAAAATCCCCGTGTATATGCATCCATTTCTCTTTCTTTTTTTCTCTTCTTCTGCAACATCTGCTGTGAACCTTGACATTGTCTCTTCTATGCCCCTCTCTTGGATTCCTCTCACTTGTCCTCTGTCTCCCTGAAGCCCATCTGCAGGCTCTTTGAGTCCCTTCTCGGGTATGGCCCCTCTCTTATCCACTCATGTGCTGAGTACTTTACATCAGCTCTTAGAATTTTGAAGCCCAGAATTCACAGGTGAACCCCTAACCACCCATTTCTGCTTCAAGCTTACGGCAGCCTGTCATACTTCCTGGAGGATAATTATATGTTTGTTTCAGATTCTTTTTCATCCGATATTCTGATTCTGCCCCACTCAGCACACTTTGTTCATCATGGCCACACAGGGAGAGATTCTGCCCTGTCTGAACGGTCCCTCTTTCCCTCAGCCTGCACCTAATTGATCCTCACCTACCTCTTTCCTACCTGCCATTTCCCACTTCTCCCTAGCTAATATCTAATTTCTTTGTCTACCCCCAAATTCGTGGGGCTCATCTGCTTCCTCCTGGACCCCCAGTCTGGCTTGGACACAGCAGCATTTCCGCTGGCTGACCATTTCTTCTGAAGTGGAACGATGCCTTCCACCTGTTGATTCAAACTTCTTGCTCTGTTTTTAATTTGCTTATTTTTAACATGTAAATACATGGAATTTTCTTCTTTTTTATTTGTACATGTTTGCAATACACAGTGATTACACTGATCTCAGGGAGTTAGTACAAGTACATAACGCATCTTAACTCTTCTTACTAACCCTTCCTTTCTCCTGTCCCCCCTCCAACTCTAGATCCCTATCCCATCTGCAAAATATTGTCTCCCTAATTCCTATCATAGATCTTTTATTTTGATCTTTAAATTATTTTTAGTTTGGGTTTCTCATACAAAAGAAATTGAATACTTAAGTTTGTGTGTCTGACTTATATAAGTTAGCATTCTTGTCTCTAGGTGTCTTTATTTCCCTATGAAAGACTCGTATTTATCCCCCTTTGTGGCAGAGTACTACCCCCATTGACTACAAATGCCACATTTTATTTGTCCAATCATTTTGGTGGACATATAGGGTTTAAGAATTATGAGACTTAGCTATTGTGAGTTGTGCGGCTATAAACATGGGCACGCATGTATCACTGTGATATGATGCTTTTGACATTTCTGGAGGTGTCTAGAAGGAAGTAGCTGGGTCAAGTGGAATTTCTACTTTTGGAACCTCCATGTTCATTGCCACAGTGGATGTACTAGCTTACATTCTCACCAAAAGCAGAGAGGGCTCCTTTTCCCCCCACAGCCTCAACAGCATTTCTTATTATTTGATTTCTTGATGATGGCCACTCTTGGGGAAGAAAGATGGAGTCTCAATGTTGTTTTAATTTGCATTTCTCTAGTGGCCAGAAATGGTGAATACTGTTTCATGTATTTATAGGCCACTTATGCATCTGAAAAGTGTCTATTTTCTTCAATAACCCATTTTTTGATTGGGTCTATTGGGGGGATGTAATTTTTTTCTTAGTTCTTTATAAATTTTAAACATAGGTCTTCTGCCCCATTCTGTGGCTTTTCTCTTCACTTTGTTTGTTTCTTTTACTGTGTAGAAGCTTTTAAATTTGATAGACTCCCATTTGTTGATTCTTGGTGTTATTTCTTGCATAATTAGTGTTTATTCAAAAAGTACTCTATGTGTTCCAGAGTTTTACATATTTCACCTTCTAACAGATTATTTCTGTTTTAGTATGCAAGTCTTTCATTCTATTTTATTCTAACACATGCTGATAGACATGGGTCTAGATTTAATCTTTTGCGTGTGTAACTAGTTTTCCCAACATTTGTTAAACAGTTTGTCTTTCCTGGAGCATACGTTTTTGGCCCTTTTGTCAAAGATCAGATGACAGTGTCCCTAGAGTCATTTCTGTATTCTCTGTTCTGTTCCATTGATCCTCACATCTGTTTTTCAGCCAGTGCCATGCCATTTTTATGACTGCAGCTTTGCAATATGACTTGAAATCTTGGGTTGTAATGCTTCCTACTTTAGGAGGCTTTGGCTATTCTGTGTCTCTTCTAGTTCCATATAAATTATGGGATTTTTTTTCTAGATCTGTGAGGCATGCTGTTGGTGTTCTGATCAGAAGAGATAGATAGATAGATAGATAGATAGATAGATAGATAGATAGATAGATAGATAGATAGATAGATAGATATTGGGGAGGAGTAGGGTCATTTTGACAATATTGGTCCTTCGCATCCAGGAACAAGGGACATCATTCTATTTTCTGATGTTTTCTTGGATCTCCTTTGCAGAGTGCAGTAGTTTTTGTTATAGAGATCTTTTAGTTCTTTCCTTAGGTTAATTCCTAGGTATTTAACTTTTCTTGATGCTATTGTTTTCCTGATTTCTTTCTCCATGGGTTCATTATTGGCGCAAAAGAATACTATTGATTTTTGTATAATGATTTTAATCCTGCTATGTTACTTAATTTGGTTATTGGCTCTAGGTGTCTTTTGGTGGAATATTTTAGATTTTCTATGTAAAGGATCATGCCCTGCAAATAAGGAGAGTTTGGCTTCTTTTTTTCCTAATTGTATCCCTTTTATTTCTTTTTCTTTCCTGATTGTTCTGGCTAATATTTCAAGTACTATTTAAATAGGAGTGGTGCTAATGGACATCCTTGTCTTGCTCCTAATTTAGAAGGAAATCTTCCAGCTTTTCCCCCATTGAATATAATGTTGACAGTAGGTTTGTCATAAGTGAGTTTTATCAGATTGAGATGGAGCCTTGAGCACCTATTTTCTTCAGGGGTTTTAAGGGCTTTCTCTTTAGCCCCCCCACCTGCTCGCCATACTTGCTTTCCTTTGCACACGTTTTGGAGAGTCCCTGCCTTGCTGTTCTCCCTAGTTGGCCATCACCAGTTTCCTCCTGCTCTGATTTCACCTTTCTGCATGCGTCTGCCATCTTGCTTCATGTGTCAAGTCCTAAGTAACTGCACCACTTTTTAAAAACATAAGCAGCATCCTTTCCTGGAGCTCAGTGATGAGCACCTGCAGCCTGCGGTCTTCTCCAAGCCCTTCTTCTTTTCTGTTGCTGTCTCTGACTGCACAGTCTCCTGCCAGTATCCTCTCACAGTCTACTAGTGGCAGAATCCCAGTCCCAGACAGGGCTGCAGCATGCTTACTGGGCCTTTTGACTTGCACTTTCTTCTAGACAATAAGGGAAACCAAGGGAGAGCCAGGAGCTCATTGTCAGCAAGGCAGGCAGTAAGAAGTCCTGTCAGATTGCAGCCCTCGCTCTGCCACCCTTCACCCCACTACGTCCAGCCTGGCCCAAAGCCCCCTCTGAGCTGGACCTCCTCTGAAACCCTGAAGGTGTTCAGTCCCCTCATAATCCTTCTAACGACACTATGTCCCACAGGCTATGAAAGAAGCATTGGCCTTCTTCAGACTGTACAGTCCAAGACCAACTCCTCTAGCTCCAAGAGGTTTCCATTTTTTCCTTTTCTTGTATTAATTCCATTCCCTTGATGAATGTCATTATAGTGTATACTTAAAAAGCACCAATAAAATTAATAATAAAAAAGAATCCCACCCCATTAGTGCCCCCACTTCCAGTTGAGAGTCTTCTTTCTGCTTCCTGTGATGTTGGTCACAAGCCCAGCGCACACCTGTGTCTCTGGGCCTCTACCCAAGTCAGGGCACACCTCCGCCCCAGCTAGATCCCAGCACTCTACTTCCACTTTCCCTCAAAAGACAAGGTACTTGGAAGAGGAGAAGGCACACTTGCCACTTGTTTGTCTCTTCGTCCCTCTCTCACTCACTGTCACTGCTGTGGACAAGGCCCCATGCTTTCAAACCCAAATCTCCCTGCAAGTACCCAGCTAGTCTCACTGTCTCCAGCTCACTTTCCCCATCCTTTCTCTGAAAGCAGGCAAGAGGATGCTTCTAGAACAAAAACTGATGTCACACTTTTGTTTAAGGCTCCCTGTTGAGTGCAGAATCAGGTGTAAATCCCTCAGTGTGGGATACACGTCCTTCCAGGATCTACGTGTCCTCCATCTCCACAGCCTGAGTCTCATGCCAGCTGCCTCCAGGGTGAACTCCCTGTGCTGCCCCTGGGCTCACTGCTTGGCACTGCTCCACTGCTGCGCTGACTTGTCACCCCACTAGGACAGAACCTCCTTTTTACCTTTTGTACTTTTCCATCTCCAGCAGCTATTGTGTAGTCCCTGGGCCTTGGCAGGGGCTTTATAATACTGAATGGATGAATGAATTTTCTACTTTGTGAGTCAAACCCTGCCTCAAATGTATGGTATTGTGCTTAGGTCCTCACTCCATATTGGAAAAGTTTAGATAATAATGCAACTAAATGACTTTAAAATGACATCACTTGACAAATTAGAAAGGGCAGAAGAATAGGGTAAGGAAAAGGAACCTACTGTTTGTTGAATAGCTATTTATGGCTCCTTAGAAAGCATTTTTTTTCTTTTTTCTTTTTTCTTTTCTTTTTTCTTTCTGGTACCGGGGATCGAATTTAGGAACTTGCACTTGCAAGGTAGGTGCGGTACCACTGAGCTATATCCCTGGCCCTTTAATAAGCATTTTTTAAAAAATGTTATCTGTGACATTTGATCTTGATTATTAACTTCATGGCATTGACAGATGCTGTGTTAGTCCCTTTGCAGTCACTGGACACAATACCAAACACCCACAAGCTAAAGGAGGAGAGGTTTATTTTGGCTTATACTTTTCAGAGGAGTCAGCCCATGGTTGGCTAGCTTCAAGGCAGAAATGACATGGTGTAAGGGACATGGTGGCAGAAAGGTGCTCAACCCATAACAGCCAGGGTGCAGAGAAAGAAATAAGGAGCCAGGGACAAAAATGCACCTTCTAGGCCAAGCCCCAGGGCCCCACCTCCACCAAGCCCCACCTCCTAGCAACACCCTCAGCTATGAATTTGTCAGTGGACAAATCCGCCGGTGAGCACAGTGCAGCACTCCCATCACCTTCCAGACACATGAGCCTTTGGAGATCTAAAGCCTGGCATGCCTGGGGCCTTAACAAAGCACACTTTGTGTGTTTCTGCAGGATGTTTCCAGACACGGCTGGCATACTAGCCAAAGAACTGAGGAGGGAAGACCAGCCCCGACTGTGAGCAACACCATCCAATAAACTTGCTGAGATGGAGCAAAAAGTGAAAGGAAGAGGGAACCTGCCTATGTGTGCAAAGCTGATCCTGCCTGAACAGGTACATCTTCTGCCACTACCTGGGTAGCCCAAACTCTTACTTCTATCCTTCAGCGCAGACTCACACCAGCGACTCCAGGAAGCTTGCAGGCTTTTTCCTCCTACTGCAGCTGTACTTGGGCCTCTTGTTCTGAAGTTTCCAGATCCTTAGACCGAGCAGCCACTGGAGCTCTGGCTCTCCAGTGTACAGACGGCCACTGTGGACTCTCGCTCTCTGATGCTAGAGAGCCCTGACCCGTACGTTGTCTCATCAAACCACCATGAATACACTCTGGGATCAATGTACTCTCCATTCTATAGACTGGAATTAAGGCATGAAAACATTAGCTTGACTGACACTACACAACTAAGTGGCAAAGCTCAAATGGAAGCACTGGTCCCCGCCAGATTCTAAGGCTATTTCCAGACCACTAGGCCAAAGGATTGTCCTGGTAACTGCCAAGAGGGAGTGTGGAGGAGGAGGAGGAGGCAGGCAGGCCAGTGTTAAGACAACTGAATGGGTCCCGGTGAGAGTCCAGAAATGTCACCAGATTAATGGCAGTGGGAAAGTGGAGAGACATGGCAACACCCAGCTCAGTGTCCAGTTGGATATGCAGGTGAGGAAAGAAGGGAACCCAGATGTTCAGAGGTGGCACTGAAGAAAGATTTGCCTCCCATGAATTCTAGAGAGATACAACAGTGCTCTGCTATCTGTGAAGAAGAACTCTGTGGCCAGGTGGAGGTGAGACAGCCCAGAGCACACAGCAGGGCACAAGGATTGGTGCGGTGGATGAATGAACCAACAACCTCAACCGGTGTGTCCCTCCTTCAAGCCCATGGTCTGAGTCACTCGAATGGCCGCTGAATGGGCAGAAAAACTAATGTGTGCTTTTTAGTTTCTCCACCAGGAGTACACAGGTGATAAGAATGAAAGCCTCAGTGCAGTATAAGGGGGCAATTTCCAAATGGAACTGACTGCCCCCCCACACCTCAGCATGGCCTCACTAACACCGCCACCAGGCTTGGATTGATTAGCTGTCTGCCTAGAAGAAAATGCCCAAGATTTCATACTGGTTCCTTGCCACCTATCTCCACAGCAAATGCTCCAGTCCCACCTTGGGCCCAAACCCCAGAACCCCAGAGCCTCAGAACCCAGAGCAATACCTCAGAGGCTTGTGGGAAATAGGCACCACCCCAAGGAAAGCCAGGGTTAAGGGTGAGCTCAGGAATCATCAGGTCTCCCCTCCTTCTCCAGATGCAGGAGGGACCACAGGCTGCTCCCTAACTCTGGTGGGCAGTGCCCCGCTCTGGTGGACCCCATCCCTGCAGGCTGCCCTCTGACTCACACTGTGGCTCAGAGACTCCCTGCAGAGGCAGAGGGACCCGCATCTCCTGCAGGGCCGCCGAGGCCTTGGTCCCTGGTTACTTCCCTTAATTCTCCACCAGACTAATGGCTCTGCTTTTACATCAGTCAGCAGCTTGTTCCTGCAAACAGTATTTTTGTAATGCTGGAATTAAATACCATGTCTTCAAAGTGCCCCTTTTCCAGAGACATAGTTCAGGGTAGGGGCCGGGATGGAGTTGGGTAGCAGTGCTTTCTGTCCCCAAGGGCCCTTTTCAGGCTTTTGAGCCAGGATGTCTTTGGAAGTTGCAGAAACCACAGGGCTTGGGCGAAGGGGTAGGAAAACACATCTAGTACAGGCAGCCCAGACCCAGTGATGTGAACGATTGACAGGGATGGCCTCACACTGGTCCTGGAACCTGCCCCATTATGGGGCTGAGGAGCCAAACAAGCAGGTGTGAGCTGCTGGACCCTCCCCGGGGCAGGTGGGCAGAGCTGGAGAGAACATCAGCCCCTGGCCCTTGGGAAGCCTTGAACCATGACCAAGAGAGTCTCTCTGTCCCTCTGGGCCCCTAGGCAGAGGTGCACAGGAGGCTTCCAGCCTTGTGTCCTATAACCGAGAGGCCTGGTTCCAAAACTAAATGCCACTCCTAGTATTAGCAGGCTACCGCAATGGACATGTGCCTTACCCCAGTTCTTTTGAAACAATTATGTTTTTAAGCTAAATTTAAGACATGGAGGAGGAGGTGTGGGAGGGCTCTCTATTGGTAAGATGGGGAGGGTGCCTTACATTTTCCTTGTCCTTTACAAAGCACATTCACAACAGCTCAGCCTCACAAAGGAATACCTTTGTGATGACAATTTGGCAAGACTGCTGACTTGGTCACTTTAACTAGTATCATTGCACCTTTTTGTTTAAACTTGTGTGTGGTAGGCTCTCTGATCCCAGTCCCCGGGTTTCATCCCCTAACTGCCCCAGGTGTAGTCCAACCTCACTGAAGATCTGACCCTCCTGCTGTCCCCACTGCCCTCTGAAGCCCATGAATATTTGGGCCAAGCCTCGGTTCCATCTCCTGGAACTAAGGCTGGACCATATAAGAGCACAAAAAGTAGGAGGAAAGCAGTGGCTTCCATAATTGACTGAGCACATAGAAGGAAGAAGCCAAGTTCCTGCTACAGGGAGTTTAATCTGGATGCCTAGTACCACTCCCCTTCCCGTGGTCACTGCTGTCCCCATCCCCTCTGCTGGAGTGAATCCAGCTAGGCCTGCATCTCTGCATGACCCAGATGCAAAGACCCTGGCCTGAGCAGCTCGCTCCTCACTGTGGGGCCAGCCACTGCTTCCTGGTGGGACACAGGGCCCTCTTCCCTGGAGGCTCACACAGCAGAGGTCCCCAGTTTAGGAAGAGGGCTCCTACACTGTGCCACTGAAACAAACAAACAGAAAGCCCTCCACAGCGCATAGGTAGGTAAGCTGCTCTCTCTTCTTCATAGATGAGGGGTGGAAAAGCTTAACAACCCCACTATATTAAGTGACCCACTCTGTGTCACCGGAGCCATAAGAAATGCTGCACATCAAAACCTGTGTTTCACTCCCCAAATCAGGACATGCTGCCTGGAAAAAGTAAGCTTTAAATCTGCAGGCTTGCTTTGATGGAAACCACCCTCCTCTGAGCTGGTGACATGTGTGCCAGGCAGAGAATACCCCAGACACCACCCCAAGAAGGGCTGCTTCCATGCAGACACACAGCCCTTCCCTCTGTCTCTCTGTCTCTCTCCCCCTCCTCATTTCAAGGATCTTTCCCTGGCTCCCCCAGCCCATCACCAAAGCACCGAGAGCGCAGTGAGGTCAGGGGATGAGCCTCCTTCAGGCTGGAGAATACTATGTGAGGCAGAGCAGTGGACAGGTGTGCAGAGGGAGCCTTATGATAAAATGTCTGGGCTTGGTCTAAACAAGGCAGGAAGATCCCTGGAAGGGATTCAGCGGGAGCCTGACCTGGTTAGATCTCAGGAAGTAGAAGAATGGACAGAGGGAAGGAAGAGGCTGTCCTGGCACACAGTCATCACAGTGGGTAAAAAGAACATGAGGGAGTCAGACCTTAGGCAGATGGGATTAAGGGCCTCACAGAGTGGGGAAGAGCAGGCACAGTGGAAATGTCAAGGTGTCTGGGCATCAGGAAGGTCAGCATGACAATCTCCAGAAGAGAGGACCCTGAGGTAAGTGGGAGGAAATAGGAGGCATCAGGGGCTGGGGGCTCAGGAAGGAGGTCTGGAAGCCTTCTATTACTGTACCAAAATACCTGAGATAATTAAAACAAAAAGTGGTTCTTTGGTTCACAATTTTGGAGGTTCTGGTCCGTGACCAATGGCACTCTGTGTCTGGTCCCAGGGTGAGAAGACACATTGTGGTGAGGGACACATGGCAGAGCAAAGCTGGTCCTCTCAGCTGGGGAACAGAAGTCAAGGCCACTCCCTCGTGACCCAAGATTCTCCCCTAGGCCCTGCCTCTTACAGGTACTTCCTCCTCCTCACAACTCCTGGGCTGGAGACTACCACACTGTCCACACATGGGCCTCAGATCCAAGCTCTAGCGGAAGCTGAAATGTCGAATTCCGGTCCTTGATGGGTCAAGGTGTGTCAGCCCCCATCTAATCCCTCTGCTCCTCAGGCCAAAACTGTGGCCAATCCACCCCAGGCTTCCTCCCAGGTATTTAAAGGAAAGTTAATGGAGCAAGGCAAAAGCTCCTCACAGGTTAACTGTGCAAAGTAAAGGACCTGGAGGCTCCTGCTGGGTCTGAAGCTGACTCTTTTGACCATGAGCAAATCTCCCTGGGTCTTGGCCTCCTGGCTGTCACTAACATTCCAGGGCTTCAAGGGCAAACATGTGAGGGGGCAAAGTGCTATATAAATGTTGACTGCTAATAACCAACCTTCCACAAGCATCTGTAACCCCCTGGGCAACCCAACAGCTTAAAGAAGTCATAAATGGCTCTTGTTCTTCTGATTTATCACATCACATTCTATGCATTTAACTTCCAGAACAAATTTAGCCCTCAAAATATCTTGGTACATTTTCTACCCACCCCTTAACATTTAAATCCCCCATCTTCCACTCCACTTCCTCGTCTCTGCATCACCTGCTTCCCCAGCACAGTCTCATCCTTTCTCTCCCCAAGCAGCCACCCAGGTCCAGAGACCAGAGATGCTGCCCTGCTGGGTCTGCTCCTGCCAGGGCCTGAGATGGAGGAGGAAAGGAGAAGGACTCAGGACAGGGCTAGAATCAGAGGTGACATTTTGGATGACCCCCCAGCTTCCGTTTCAAGCCGGGCTCATCACTGCCGGAGCCTTGGCATCTTCATAGTGGGCCAGTATCAGCCTGGAGTCCAATCTTCTATGCTCTTGATTCAAGATCTGCTGGAGCATTTGCCTCAGCCACTCTCAGCCCATTTCCACTCCTTTAAAAAAAAAAAGCAACTCCACCATTTTAAATACAGTGTTTAGGGTAGGCCACAGAGGCTGCTAAAGAAAAGGCCTTTCCCAGAGTCTGCAGAGGAGAAACAGGGAGCTCAAAAATGTTTGGTTCCTCCAGCTTCCTGAGCCACAGCTCCTGCATACTCAGCAGGGCTCATATGGGAAATTCTTCCAGCACAGCAGGTGTGCCCACCCTGAAAGCCAAGAAGACTGGCAGGAAACATTTATTGAATGCTCGCTATGTGTCAGGAATTGTTCCAAGTATTTTCACATGAATTAATTCATTTAATCCTCACAAGCACCCCAGCAAAGTAGAAAAGATTCTTTTTCTTCATTTTTCAAAGGGGAAATCCAAGTACAAAGTGGTTAAATAACTGCTCTCAAGTCCCCCAGGGTAGCTGGGATTTGAAAGTGGAGGATGACACAAACCAGGACCACTCTGAAGGTGCAGGGACCGGGGGCCCTCTTGGGACTCAAAAGCCAGGTGCATGGGACATATACCTCTGTGCCACCTCTCCCGGCCTGGGGGCTGGGCCGAGCTCCTTCCACAGTGGGCAGTTACCCTGTGAGCCTCGCTTCAGTGGAGCAGGAGTGACTGCCTGACAGTGAAACTGCAGAACCCAGGGCTCCTGAATGTGGGCTCTGTTGTAAATTGGGATCACATTTCTAACCCTTCAGATTACTTTGCATTCTGTCGATGATACATGGAGTTCAACCACCCTGGCTCCTCTTCCCCTCACCCTCCCCAATTGAAACACTTCACATGTCCTTTACAAACCACACCAAAGCCCGAAGGTTCCTTATTGTTTTGTAAATAGCGTTAGAGTTGATTTCTTCTTTTGTCCATGAATTCACTTATGCTGAGCGACTAGTTAATCTGAAAGTTAACCCTTTGGAATCTGGCCTCAGAGAATCTGCCCGAATCCCCACACAAACCCTGTGTTGCTGTCTGACATTCACTCGTTCCCATCAGCCACTTCTAATACAATATATTTCAAATCCTTTTCTACAAATAAACCTCAGTTCTGCCCGAAAGAGATCACCAGATCATGCAATGTGTGAGCTCCGAATCTCCTTCAAATGTCCTTGGTTTATAAATCTCAGCTTCCCCATCCAATTGTACGCCTCTGCTCATGTACCTAATGGAAGCCATCAAAAACCCCAAAGCTCTGGCTTCAGATCAATATAGCAGTTCCCTTGATAATAAGGTTCCTTGCTAAAGAACTGAAAGTGCCCTCTCGAACCCCTAAGCAACTGGCTTAGGACTATCATTTGCCCCCACAATCTCATGCTCTGTCTGTTCTCTGCCCAAGCCAAGTCCTGAGTATTTATTTCCAAGGCTGGGGCAGGAGAAACGTGAAGCTTTCTGGTCCCTCTAGGCAGTCTCAGTCTCCAGACCTGGGCCGCCATTGCGAGTTCCTCTTTGTATTGTCGGTACCCCAGGTGGCACTCTGCATCCTTCACCCTTCAGTGTCTGCTCCCCTGTCTTCTGACCAGGGAGTGTGGTGCAGTGAGGGAGAATTAATCCTGCCCTTCCCAGCCATGGATACTCCACTAGGAGACTGGACACTGCAGCCAAAGAAAATGCCAAGGCTGAGGAGCTTTACTGAAAGAGATGCAGACCAACAGGCTGAAGGAGTGGAGGGTTGGATTTGGACCTAAGGGTGGGGCAGATTTCTGGTAAGAGAAGAAACAAAAGGATGCTCTTGAGAGGAGGGTATGGGAGCAAAGGCAAATTTATCTGGAAAGCCCCTGGTTGGCAGGGACTGACCAGAATAGGGATGTGGGAGTTTAGAGGAACTGGAGAAGAAGCCCGACAGGTCTGCACAGTGGGGATACCTGGGCAGATTGAGGAGCCTCTGGCTGCTGAGCTAGCAAGGTATAGATAGTGGTAGTAGTAGATAGATAGGAGGTAGATAGCAGTAGATCGTAGGTAGTTAGTAGTAGGCAGTAGGCAAATAGTGCCATCCGCCTGGAAGCCAGTGTCTCACAACCAGATGAAAACAGAGCAAGGGGCAATGGCAGGGCCTCTCACCAGCAGCCACAGCCTGTGCCACTCCCCCAAACCAGGCTGAGTTTACTTTTCTGCCCTAGACCCACCCTGATCCTGGTCCTGTAGGAACCACTGTGACTCCATTGACCCAACAAGTTCTTCTGGAGAGAGTTTAAGCCCGAGAACTGGAAGGCCTGGCTCCAACTCCGCACTGCCACCATTAGAGAACGTGCCTGTCATTTTCTGGCAATTGTTTTTTTCAAAAATAGTGATTTTAAAATCTGAGCCCTCCCAGAGCCCCAGCCAAGCTTTACGTGGTATCACTTGCTTGGTGCGTTCAGGTGGCCATTCAAGGACTAGGTGACAGCCAGACCCCAGCCTAAGTCCTCCAGGGAACAGCAGCTCCTGGATGCTCAGGCTGTCTCCACAGCTGTCAGACTCATGCTTGTCTTTCCCAACCAGAATGGAATATCTATGGCAGGTGGAAGACCCATGGAGGGCAATGAGAGAGGCAAATAAGACACGGACGTCAGAGCCAATGGCATGGAGAGTTTGAGAGCCACCAAGAAAGACCTGAGGTTGGATTCTGGTGAAGAGCACTGCAGAAGGGGTCATCAGGAGCTCTGTGTGTGTGTGTGTGTGTGTGTGTGTGTGTGTGTGTGTGTGCACGCGCCTCCACTGGGATTGACTCAGGGCC